GTCCCGCTCATCCCGCTGGGCTGGGCTAAGGCCAGGAGGGACCCGCGTGTCCTCTCTCCTCGCAGGTCGCGGTGCTGCTCATGGACACGCAGGGGACCTTCGACAGCCAGTCCACCCTGCGCGACTCGGCCACCGTGTTCGCCCTCAGCACCATGATCAGCTCGATACAGGTAGGGAGCAGGGGAGCCGCAGGGCTCGCTTCCCGAAAAGGGACGGTCCCATAGGGAGGAGGAGATGCTCAGGGCTCGCTTCCCAGAAAGGGACAGTCCCATAGGGAAGAGGAGATGCCCAGGGCTCGCTTCCCAAAAAGGGATGGTCCCAAGCAAGCAGCAGGGCACCAGCCTGAGAGATGAGGCCAATGCACTGGCTACACTGAGTGTGGGACTCATGTGTGATCCATCCTTATGGGGAACAGGCTCATCCTGGTGGGCCTCGGCCATTCCGAGCCCGCTGCGACGTCTCTTTTCCAATGCAGGTCTATAACTTGTCGCAGAACGTGCAGGAAGACGACCTGCAGCACCTCCAGGTAAGGCTCCCCACATACCACCTCGGCCCACAGCTTTCTCTTCTATCTGCCTGCTTAGTTAGGGGCTTTCCAAGTTGCTTCACAAAAATAAAAGCAAAAGTTTACCCGGAAAAATCGGTGCCGGAGGTGCTCTGCGCTGCTTTGGGTGCGCAGTTTTCCGCAGCGATGCCTGTTTAATGTTTCCCCACTAGCAGGGTGACTTGGAGCTCTCTGTTTCAAGCTATTTAATGTGTCAGCCCATTTTTAGGCATTCGGGAAATACATCACGGGGCCTTCGCTTAAAGCCGCCCGCAGCGGGGTCACGGGCGCAGCTCCGCGTCCCCAACGCGCCCTGCTTCTCTCTGCAGCTCTTCACCGAGTACGGCCGGCTGGCCATGGAGGAGACGAGCCTGAAACCCTTCCAGGTGAGCGGCCGGGCCCCCAGCCCGGGGCTCGGCCACGAGGTGTCACTGCGGGCCGGGAGGGACACGGAGAGGCAGGAGGAGACGCTTGCCCTGCTCCGGGGCGCGCGCGGGGGCTCCCATCGGGCGCTGGCAACAGCTAAGACATTATCCATATAGCAGATGCACCAGCGGAGATTTCGGGCAGCTCTGGGTGTATTTGCACGCTGGCACGTGCCGCTGAGCAATGGAAGATGCGAAAGGCAGCAGCAAAAACCCGTGGCTCGAAGCAGGGAGGGCGAGGAGACGTTCTTAATGCAGTGCAGGAAAAGCTGCGTGTGGAATCGATGTCTCTGTCCCGTTTTTGAGAGCTCTCAGGAGAAGGTGGCCACAGAGCACAGTGCAAGTGAGATCCTGTCTGATCCCTCAGAACGGAGCAGGCTGCAAGGAGAAACTTTGAAATGTGCTTAAGTCATTAGGAGGGATTAACAGGCGCTGATTTTACCAAAGACCGGAATTCATGACGATTCCCTCTGTATCTGGGGTAGTAAGCCCTGGAAAATCATCCCAGCTGGTTCTGCTAGACCTCAGGTTGGGTAGCGGCCACCGCGATATTTTGCCTTATCTCAAAAGGATGTGGATTGAAAGCAGTGCCCAACGTGCCAGGCCCGTGCGCCCCGAGCACAGGGATCAGAAACTCCTCGAGGGATGGAGGAGAGGAGCCCCGAGCTGCCTCCCGATCCAGGCCCCTCAGAGCTGCCGTGGTTTCCGCAGGACACCGGGAGAGGCCGTGGGGCTCCGGCTCCAGGGCGGGATGCCGGAGACGTGCGCGGCTTTGCCGGGATTAGGAGCCGGCCATGCTGCTGTTTCTTATTTCTTTGAGCCGGAAACTTGGGCTCCGTTGGTGAAGATGACCAAGGGCAGCGATTTCTGAGTCCGCCCTGCTGCTCGACAGCTGCTTCCCATTAAACGCCTGCCTGGAAAGCTGCCTGCTGGAAGAGGCTTAAGAAATGAGCCTGTAAAAGTCCCATTGGATGGGGTCGTGAGCCTGTAAAATTCCCGTTGGATGGGGTTGCATGTGGCTGGAGCCAAGGAGCTCGGTGCCTTTTGTGCCCATCCGTGCGCGGCACCGTCGGGGGCTGCAGCTTGGGCTGTGGCTGCGGTTCTGCCCGGGGATGGGAACGGTCCCATCATGGGGTCACATCCTCTCCCGAGCCGGAGTTTCTCCGCGCGGCTTTGGCCACGCTCCCGGTGTTGACCCCGCTGCGTTTCTCTCCCGCAGTCCCTCATATTCCTCGTGCGCGACTGGAGCTTCCCCTACGAGTTCTCCTACGGCTCGGACGGCGGCGCCCGCTTCCTGGAGAAGCGGCTCAAGGTGGGTGGGCGCCGCGGCGCCGAGCGGAGCGCGGGGGGTCCCCGGGCCGCCGTGACGCGGCGCCGTCTCCGGC